TGAGCTGAAGAAGCCGAAAGAGGAGCGATGTGTAAGTCTTTAATCACACATGCGTCTCATTGTGACCCGTCTGACGATCAGATGGCAGGTCTATGTTCTTAAAGACACATGGCGCGACGAGCGACGAGCGCTCGAAGGTGAACTACTGGAGATGATAGGTGATTGTGAAGGAGTCGCCCAGTTGCATTCGTACTGCAGTGTCACCATCGATGGCCAGACAGATACGACACACTCGCTCATTCGTCGAGATTTGGTCGTAGCAGACACACCAAGATCAATCGAGACGAACCAAGAACAGACGAAACCGTCTGCGGAGGCTCCGAACTATCGACCTAATTCCCCGGACGGAGAACGCAGTGGCACGACGAGATATCTTCCCGACCAGGATTTCTTACCTCCATTAGCGCTTGAGCAAGGACTGCCACCGTTGCGCAAGGTTCACTCAAGGCTAGTCGTCAGGACATATGGATGGCCAATCAAGTATGCGCTCTCTCCGGCCGAATTACTTTGCGTCGTTGCCGACGCGGTGAGAGGTGAGTAGTGTCAGAGCGATGGCGAATTGTAGCTGAAGGTGATCTAGGTCACAAGAATTCTTATTCACGAGATATTTTGCATCGTGATGTCAGCGAAGGGAATATCCTTGTCATGCCTGTCATGGTGAATGGCAAGAGGGTGTTCAAAGGTGTACTCATTGATTATGACAATGCAATCAAGTTCAGTACCCATCAAACGCTTGCAGATGATCCTGCATCGGTACGAGCATTACTTTCGGAGCTGGCATCCAACTCATTGCCTTCCTCCTTTGGTATAGGGCACTCGTCCCTTCATGTCTGGAGAATTGCTTCAACAGTGGCCCTACTTTGTGAAGCCGGGCGAGATGTCAGCTCCTCGACATGATGCAATTCATGACCTAGAAAGTTTCCTCTGGGTTCTTGTCTATATTTGTCTTTCTCGTGATGGTCCAGCTCATCGACGTCGAGAAATCTGGGATAATAGTAAGGAGACCCAGCTTCTTCGCGATAACTGGAGGGCACTCTTTGAAGGAGAAAACCTACTGTTGGCGGAGCGCAAGCAAACTCTCATCAGGAATAGGGATGACTTTGCATTTCGAGTGCTTCGCTTTCTCCCAGTCTACTACAAACCACTAGAAGAGGTGCTCCGGAAGCTGCGCGATATTCTCGAAACTGCATACCGCTCGCGGGAGTTTAACAACGTGCACGAAGACTTCATCGAAGCCATGGAGGCCGCTCGGCTTGGCTTAGAGCCTATCACGGATCCCAAGCATATCGCGCTGCAGGAACGTGAAATCGAACGCAGACGAACCGACGATGGTCGCACAGGAGAAATATCTCCCACTTCAAAAGGAATGAATATGGGCACTGCCGCATCGGGATCTACGGCGTCGCACGGTCTTCAAGAACCCGAATCCCCCACCCCTAAACGTACAAAATCGACTTCAGATATGCTGGAATTACCATCTGCACGTTGATTACTGGAATGCTTAGTTGTTGTGTGGATTATGCTTGCCCAAGAATCCTTTGCCGGAAGCTTCGGCGTCACATCCTAAATAGATTTCAGGCATGGGCTGGAATATAGAGTTATTTCTCGGACATTGACAGTGCTTCAAGTTGATAGGCTTATTTGGTGACGAGTCGCATGTCAGGCTTCCACTTCTTGATTGTCAGCGAGGGCCTAGCCATATGTCGACAGTCGGTACGGCGTGTACGTAGCCGGCTACGAAGTAGACTATCAAAGTCGAAGCAAAGACATTGGATTGGACTTCTCAGTGTAATAGTATGTCTCCTTCAGGCATGCTGAATGCAACACCGGTACCGATGTAGTGACCATTATCCATCGCCTCAGTGTGATCAAAGAGCATCACTCCGTGTGGTCACATAATAATGTCGAATGCCGATGACCGTGATACCTTTCACTTGGGCTGGAACGAATGTATGGGTCATCGGAATGGCTGTGCACTGAAAGCCATATAAGACTGGATCGATATCAGCTAGTCACTACATTACATACGAACATTGCGTGCTGATACAAATGGCAGGATTACATTATGGAGAACTATATGAATAATTGTCAATTAGTAGATTATGATTTTCTCATCCGAGCCGCATTTACAATCCAAGGACCTTTGCGACATTCTCGTGGCGAGGCACGAGCTTGATATGGAATGGTACAGGCGATCGGCCAGACAGTCCGTCGTACTCCTTCAAGTCGATGGGCTTGTCTGGGATCTCGACCATATTGAACGCCCACAGCATACGGGAGATGGCCAGCCAGATCTCGCGCTCTGCGACGATCATACCGGGGCAGATGCGACGGCTGCAAGGACGGAAGCTCGTCAGACGTAGATGCAAACGATATGTTAGCGGGGAGCACGTACCCTGCGCCAAACATCCAGTGGTCGCGCTCATTCGGGTCAGCCAGGTTCGCAGACTCCGTGTTGTTCGTGCTGTCGTGGATGTACCGCTCAGGCTGCAGGCATCACGTCAGCTCATGGCAACTCATCCAGCATGCACGGCACTCACGTTGAACGTCTCTGGAGCCGGGTGCCTCGATGGGTCGTGGTGCATCGAGTACGTGTTCAGGATCACGACCGTGCCCTTGGGGATGTATTGACCCTCATATGTGAAGTCCTCTGATGCTACGTGGGGTGTGCCCAGCCAGAATGGATTGTGTGTGCGTTCGACCTCCTTGATGATTGCGTGGCAGTATGGCAGATTGATCTCGTCCTCGACCGTCGGCAGGCGGTCGCGTCCTACTACTCTGTCGAGCTCCTCTTGCGCCTTCTTCTGAATCTCAGGGTATGCGGGGATGAGTGCAGAGAACCATTGCATGATCGATGCAGTCTGCGATGGGGTGTCTGTCAGTGCCCAGTGTTACCGAACACTGCATTCAGACTCACCGTCTCCACACCGCCAATCATGAACGCCGACGTCAAGATAGCCATGTCCAGGTGGTCAAGCTGCTCCTCGTCCCGCGCAAGGATCATCGTCTTCGCTAAGCACTCAGGCACGTCCTCGCCCGCCTTCATCCTCCGCTCAATGTCGTTAATCATCCCACCGTACGTCTCAACCAGACCCTTGTGCAGCCTCTTCCCGCGAATCGACATGATAGTCGGGATCCATTGCAACGGCGTGAAGAAGTCGACCAGATTCGACACCGGGCCCGTGCAGTTCCTACATGTCACCGTCGTCATCAGCAATTATCCGGACAGCGACTGGAGACCACATACATGAACTCTCGCGAGAGCTTGAGGGCCCGTCCGACGAGCGGGTGCTCGGTCGAGTCCGTCCGCATCCCAAATACGATCGTCAGCATGTTGTTCAACGAGCATCTTCCTGCGTGTGGTTGTGGGTTGATCGGTGCGCATCCAGCCTGGCCCTTCTTGTACAGCTCCTGCACCATCACCGTCGCCTCATGATCCAGCACATCCGTATATCCCGCTACCGCGCGAGAGTTCAGCCATCCAGTCGCAATCCGGCGGTGCTTGCGCCTACGCCCAGTATGTCAGCACACGACAGCCCACGGCATGCACGCGGCCAACTCACCATCGGTCGTTGTATGGCGTCGCAGTGATCCCGCGGCCGACAAATACAAGCTGACTCTTCACAAACATCTCCTTGCGTGACGAGAACACCGACCCGTTCGTCACCATCAGATCCTTTGCGATCCCCGGGTCGGACACGACCACGAACAGCTGGTTTCCCAGCCACATCGAGTACAGTGGCCCGAACTTCTTGCGCCAATAGTCAAGCGTAAGCTCAGGGTAGTGTGTCAGGAATGGGAACGATCCTGC